TCATCACACGATAAAGAGAGACACCCAAACAAAACAGAAATTCTTCATCTGGACCAGAGTAATGATGATTCCACTAGTGACAGAGATTAAATGATTCCCATTATAGGCAGTGGCAATGCCATTTCTGGTCCTGTATTATGGTCCAGTCTGATACCCAAAATTCGAGATCTGCTAGTGACCAATGATCCACCAAAAGTAAAGGACATGGATATTCCTTTTGATGTGCAGAATCACCATTTTTCTATGACATTTTTATACAGAAATCTTGAAAATAGTGAAGTTCTAAAGTGGCGCTGGCTGCTTTACTTGGAGTCCACTGACAAGGTTTTCTGTTTCTGCTGCAAACGCTTTTACTTAAATCCAAAGTCATCCCTAGCATTTGAGGGGTCAAATGATTGGAAGCACATGTCAGATCCTTGTGCATCATGAAAGGTCACCTAGTCATTTCAATTTCCACCGAACATGAGTCAAAGCGGAGCAAAGGATAAAACAGGATATGTTTTGTTCTACATTCTGTTCTCTGCCTCTGTTCATCGTTGGAAGATTTTCACAGATCATGTCAATGTCACTAATGATTCAGTATATGAACATCCTCAGAGTGCAGAACTGAAATTGTTAAAGTTGTTTGAAACCAAACAGTTGAAGTCCATGATGCCCACATCGCCTTGGCTGAGTTGGAGCAAGCGGATGCTGGTATCCATCATGAAGTGCTCACCCCAATGTCAACTTGCTGAAGTCAGAGTTGTCTCCACTGCAGTGGTACAATATTGTTTTTCTAGTCAATGAGGTGAGCAAAAGTATGCAAAACAAGAAAAATGTCAACATGGTTGCCCTCACAAATTTGATAAATGCCTGTCCTGACTACATTGTAAACTACAGAGAAGTTGGGTATGGAGGACCTCTCACAACAGCTAAGGAAATAGCTGAAAATCTTGGTTTTGATCTAATGTTTAAACCAGCCCCACACATTTGTCATAAAAAGCATCAATTCAGCTATGAAGAACTGTGAAGAACTTTGCTATCTCCAAAGTCTACTTCCAAAGGACTGTAGCACTCCTCAAGAAGTTCTGCAATTTATTTACAACAGTGAACTTCATGACAACATCCCAAACACATGGATAGCACTCAGTATCTTGTTAACCATGCCTGTATTGGTGGCAAACAGCAAACAGAACTTCTTGGAGTTGAAGCTCATAGAAACATATTTATGACCGACCTGGTGAGCTGGCCACCCTGTCTATTGAGAATGCTGTGGCTCAAAATATAGACCTGTCACAAGCAATATCAGAGTTTGCAGCAGCAAAGGCCTGCAGGGTTGTCTTCTGAGACTTGGAATCTTGGAGAACAAAAGTTTTTTTGTTATTGTTATGTATTAGTTTAGTGTTTAATTTAATGTTTTGTTTATTTGTCACTTAGCTATAATGTTATCTTTTATGACTTGTATAATTTATTATTTGAATAAAATTGAATTGAATGTTGTCATTTCCACTTTTGTATCTGTTTTTAGTAAATTATAAAACACTTTTGAGATTAGAGCTTTATTTCTGAAATGAAGGGGTGAAGGGAGTGGGTGCCAAAATACAAGTTCTCCCAGAGCACCATTTGCCCTAAGGCTGGTTCTGATGAGCTGAGCTTGTTCTTGTCAAGGTCTTTGGCATCTTTTTGTTTAGTTTAGTTAGGGAAATGTTTAGCAGGTTTGGCATATTGTGCCAAGCATATTAAAAAATCCATCAAAACTTTGGAAGGGATAAAGAAAAGATGATGACCAATATACCTACTCTAGGCAGATCTGTTCTGTTTGAAAAGGCATTAGCTAGAGTGTTTAGCTAGGGGCACTGTAGACTGAGTTTAGCACTTTAAAATCTTGTGTTACTGATCATGGGTTACCTTAATTTGTACAAGGCTCCAGTGGTGTGAGAAACCAGTAATTCTGTTAATAAAAGTTGTGACTTACCTCTTTAATACTGGCAAACAAGCCAAAAACTGTTTTGAAAGATTCTGGAGAATTCTAAATACCCGTATTAGAGGAAGTAAACTGAACTGGTTTATGGGATGTATTTTTGGTGATCTGAGAGAAGAAGATTGAAAAAAAAAATCAAACTAAGGAAAATAAGTCCCCTATTAGTAGATTTCCAAGAAAGACAGACAGTCTTTTGTCACAAATGTATGTAGAGTGAAACTTCCTGTTGTCACAGTCCACCAGACTGGCCTGCCTACTGGGTAGAGCTGGGCATGGAGTGGCAATTGCAGGGCTAAGAGTCAGAAGCCACAAATCAGGAGCCAAAATGCTAAGCCAAGGTCAGGAGCCAGGAATCGGAAACCTTTTTACCAAGTCTGAAGGATAATCTACAAGGTGAAGTCCAAGAGTAAGCAAGGCTGGGGTCAGGACTCAAGAGTCAGGTCTGTAAGGAGAATCCAGAGGTTAAAATCCAGTCTGGCAATATCTCTGTCCCCATCTCTTTGGTACAGTCGCCAAATAAAAGCTGCCTAGTTTGTTCCTTCTGATTTTCCAAAATTTTGTGTGCTGGTGATTTATCAGAAAAACCTCACCCAGTCACTCTATGCTGGAAACCTCCCCACCTCAAAAACCCAAACAAACAGGTTCCTAACTGGGGCTTGTAAGCCTGAGTTTGTGAACTTGGGTTAAAATGGCTGTGAGAACAAAGTAACTTGAGACACAGACAGAAGTTACAATTTTCGCCCAATCTGGCCCCTGAAAATGCTCTACAGCCGTGACCAAACACAAGTGCACAGCTGTAGACCACTTTAAAAGGGCCCAATCCTGTGACAATCTAAGCTCTTGCATGAGGGTTCAGATGAAGACACTCCAAAATGGAGAGTCTTCTTGTAACTTGTGTCTGCATGTGCCAGGAGCCAGGAGGAGGGCTGGGCTGATGCACCTCAGCCCTGCTTCTGGTGCTGTCTTTAGAATGGGAGGTGTGGGAGGGAGCAGAGGGAGTTCAGCCTGGGTTTTTTTTAGCTGGCGCTGGATTGTGTTGGCTGGAATGAGCTGCTTCCGTTCTTCCTCCCACCATGCTAAAAACAACCCTGGGGCTGTAAGTGGGCAGGAGCATAGAGCAGCTGCAGGCTCGCAGCCACTCGCAGCTGGATCCAAACCCCTAGGACCCAACAGAAGCACCATGAGTTACAACAGGGAGCTGCTCTTCTGTCTACACCTTTGGGTTTTAATGTAGGTTATTGTCTCAGGTTCAGTCCCAGGCTCTCCATGTATGAATTCCTAACCCAAGTTATAAGTCACCTGACTTCATTGGTATTCTAACCTGAATTAACCAACCCAAATGAATTTTTCCCCAGTGTAGCTATACTGTAAATGGATATAGTATTTCTCCCAGGAGAAAGCCTTTGCCCTGGAATCCTACAAACAGGGACAGGTTTGTACCTGTGAAGTATGAGAGACAGAATGTGCTAACAGTTTTTCCCCTGGGACAATGGTGTGTATGGCTGTAACTTAATATCACCTGGTTCTAGTTAATTGCCAGTCATTCCAGGGACAAGTTTGTCAGATTTCCTGCTCTCCTGGACTGCCGTCTGTCAGAGGAGCTGCAGTGCAGCTTGGAAGCCCTTTTGTCCTGGGCATTTACTCAAATCAATCAGAATCACCTCAAATGAGACATCTGTTTACAGCCTGAAGCAGTCTGGTCAGGTGAACCTGACTGCTTCCACCTATAGAGCTTTAATTCATCCCAGTAGAAGGAAGAAATGAGGTTAACAATAGGTAGCTTTGTTTAGCAAGCACTTTGAGAATTCAAGGTGAAAAAGTGCTACATATCTGCAAAGTATTATGCATCAAGCAGCATCAGCATTCATTTGTTTTACAGTGCCACAGGTTCTGGTACCCAAGCTAGCTTAAATATCTCTGCATGACATTGCTTTGTAGACCTATCCAATATATTATAGCATAGAAAGGATCTAAAATTCTGCTGATTTTATTTAATTTAAACTTATTTTTTTGGTGTGGGGGGAAAGTCAACAAAACCAATTGGTTTAAAATGGCTAATAATGATTGTAGCACCAGTTTACCATGCAGAAGAAGCTCTTATTTTGCAGCTAACAGAAGTTTGTGACAGAAGGTGCCTTCTCTTTAGAAGACATGAACCTTATGTTAAATACAGGGACAGAGGATGTTTCACTGCCAAATACTAGGAAGGAAGGAAAATATCTTGGACTTTTATGTAAGCTATTTTGTGTGCGTCTCCAACCAAATGAAAAGGTTTCTCTTTTAAAACAAATATGTATGAATTCTGTACCACTCATACTGGAGGCAGGTTTTCTGAGGCAATCTAAAGTACAATCTGTGGCTTGTGGGACACAGTTTTCCTGTTTGAAAGTAAATTGCCAAAGTTTCAATAATTGCAGCAAAGCCAACATTATTTAGCTACTCCTTAAAATCCTCTGTCTTCCCAGATCTCACAAAGCAGATTACTCATTTTTTGCTATTGCTGCTTTCATGTGTTCACTAGAGCAGTGGTTCTCAAATGGGGGTCTGCGGTCCCCTGGGGGGCCACAAGCAGGTTTCAGGGGGTCTGCCTGGTTTGGCCTGGTGTGGAGAGGAGCCACCCTGGTCCCCCAGGCCTGAGGCGAGTCCTGAGGAAGGAGCAGAGGTGGGTCTGCCCTGCCTGAGCCTACAGCTTCTATCTTGTAGGTGGTGCTATGGGTGGGCAAGGCTCCTCACTGTTGCTGCTCAGGTGAGCGTGTTCCCAAGGCTCACCACTGCTCAGCTCTGTCTGCTGCACCCGGGGCTGTGCAGGTGGGGCTGGAGAGCTGGGGGGGTCCTCTCCTGTGCAGGGAACAGCAGAGGTGGGTAATGAAGTTTTTATAGCATGCTGAGGAGGGCTTCAGGAAGAAAAAAGGTTGAGAACCCCTGAATTAGAGGATAATAAGTAGGACATATAGTAGGTTGCTCTGGTTTTGAAATTGGTTATCCAGACCCTCTGTGGGCTTCATGGAGAAATAATCTATAATTGTGTGTTTTTATTTAGAATCTGGCAAGGTCTTCACATGGGGTAGAGCAGACTACGGACAACTTGGAAGAAGTTCAGTTCATGATGGACAAAGGCAGGAGGTGTGCAGAATATCTGAAGAGCATTCAGAGCAGTTATTTAATGTCCCAGTTCCTGTGCCTTGCCTTACTGGAGCATCTCAGGTAAGGGAAATTGTGTCCTACTTCAAGCTTTAGAATTTCTCCTTTTGGACATGTGGGAATTAGAATAATCTCTGGATAAAACTCATTTCAAAATGCAGCAATAATATGTCCTGCTTCCCTTCAGATAATCTGAATGTAATTTAACTCTGTTATTTGGATTTCTTAACCATTGTAGTCAGAAGCAAGTTTGTTCTTTGTAAGAAGCAGTGAAGAAAACTTGTAACTATTAGAAGCAAAAATACAGCTTCAAATTTATTTTGTCCTTTTCAGATGTCAAGTGTGAAGGAGAAATAGTTGCTGCTATCACCCTGGGTAACAAATGAGATAGGAACTTAACCATTTGCACGGTTGCTTTTCTTGAAACAGTCTAGAAATGCTACAACATAGCCAATGGAAAGTGAACTTACTCAGGGTGGCAAATAGACTCTCATTTCAATGGAGCTGATGATCTCAATGAAAAGACTCCCATTAACTGTGACTTCACTGGGTTTTGTATCAGGCCCTAAGTAAAAGAGACAGAATTTGGCAGAAATTGGACATAGCAGTGCAATCAGAGTGCTTTTATAAAGGGCAGTCAACTCATTTCTAAAAAGGCCTTGATGAAACAGCTGTCAGATTCATGGGAGAAAGCTAAACAGTCAACAAATGACTTGGAAAATTCAATGCAGAGTGTAGGAAGGGGAAGGGCCAATAGCAGCAGGCTTTGGAGCTGCTTAAAAGCAGGGACTCTGGGCAGGCAGGTCCTGTGAAGACTGATCAGTGAGCCTATAGAGCTTGTGGCACATGTGGAGTTCCCAGCAGGACCTGCACTGACATGCTGGTGAACTCTGAAAGCTCGCTGACATCCAGGATGTAAAGGGTTGTGCTACACCCCCTTCAGCTGTGTTGCCAACTCACTCTATACTTAACACTGTTTCCACACTAAGTTAAACTGTTATAAAATAATGTAAAATATTGAAAATAAACCCATAATAGCAGATGAGCTAATTAAAGGCTTCTATGATACTGCGTGACATCCTTATTATGCAAGCTCTTGCCAGTGGTCATATGGCTGTTCTTCTCCTTTCTTCATCAAGGGTGCTGGTAATTGCTAATGTGTATTGCTAATATTCAACATGTCTTATTAGTCTCACCTCAAAATCGCCTTGTTTTCAAAGATTTGTGAGTGAAAGGAATGTAACTTGGTTCTATTTCATGTATTCATTTTAAATATTGTCCATGTGAATTATAAGTACACCTCATATTTGTTTTTTATTCAAATTTAAATAATAAACCAAAAGCAATACCAGAAGCTCCAGGTAATCTTAGAAGAATGCAATAATGATTGTCTAGTAGCATTAAAAGGCTCTGTTTCGTGTTAGCTTCAGTTCATACAAAGTTAATATCTATGACACACACAGTAATAAAGCCTCATATTTTTAAACTGTGAAACAGTTATATTGCAGATATGCATTCTTTTCTTCTCAGCACATTGTTAGTGAGTGTCCACCTGCAATAGAAGTCACTGGGAATGTCTACATGAGATGTTTACTGTGGAGCTGACTAATTAGCTCCACAGTAAAGTCTCAGTGTCTACAAGTACTATCCTGAATGCAGAGTTATTTACTGCACTGCAGCGCACGTGTAGATGCTGACAGGGCTGGCTGGGGACACAAGGGTGCTTCAGTGTGGGGGTTAGCTTCTGGCTAGCCCTGCACTGGAGCACCATTATGCCTCAGCCAGCCCGTCTGCAGCATGTTGAGCCAGGTTGGAACAACTTCAGGCTAGAAGGTTGACCCCTGGGACCCTTTGCTAGCTGGGACTGCTCTGACCTGACTCAACATGATATGGTCCTGGGCGCACGTGTAAACGCAGCGCCCAGGAGCAAATAAACTCAAAATGTGCTGGAGTATATTCAGTCACATTAATTGTACATGTAGATGTGCCCACTGAGAAAAACTGAACCCCTGGAGAGATCAGCTGTGTGAGGCATTATTTATCATGATTTGGTGTAGTGTAGGGTGTCCTTGGTTGAGCCTCCATCTGACTCATCGGGTGTCTGATGTACATTTGTATCCACTGCTCTTGAGATGAAAGGATGATTAAGTACAAATAGACTGAGACTTGATTAGATTCTCTCTCTAACAAATATTACAAAGACCTGGTTTAACATTTCCTCCTTGTCAAAATACTTCCCCAGCTTGTTTGATGTTTTGATTTTAATAGCTCTCGTTTGTGATATGTTCAGTATGTCATTCCTTGCAGCAAACATTCACCATAAGCAATAAACCAACTAAGAAAAGGTCATTATATAGGACGTGAATATTTCTCACTAAATTGAAGGGAATAAGTGATCTTTTCCCTTTGGAAATGTAGCATTGCCATCATGTATAGCCATGTTCTGTCTTAGCCTGAATCTCATTGAAGGAAACTTCTAGATGGTGGTTTTTTGAGCAATGAGCTTTAGTTTCGTAATGAAAAGCAAAATTAGCAATGAAGTGAAAAATGCTTCGCTTTTTACACTGGGTATGTCGCAAGCATTACAATTCTATTGGTGGAATTGTAATTCCACCAGTAGAAACACTAAGCATACAAGCAGTTTCTTCTGGACCACAAATGGCAGGCCTGGTAGAAATTTCTTCCTCGTCTGACAAGGTAGAATTGCCTCCAGCAGAGCTTCTACCAGTTGTATACTTGATAGATACAAGCTCCTGTGCTGTCCCAGTATGCAGTGCTCCAACTTCTGACTTCCCTCCAGAGAGACAGTCTGTGCCATGGTTGAACTCCACGTCTCCAGCTCAGTCACAGACCAAACCTCTCTTCCTGTCAGCTTTGGAGATGAGAAAGCCCAACAGCTCTCCACATTCCTGCAGCTGATAAGCCCCTGACCAGTATCTGGGATTTAAATGCTACCCCTTTTGCCCAGCTGAGGGCTGGGAACTAGGGTTGGAAATCTGTCACTGTTTACTTCCCAGACCGGAGCCCCCAGTGCAAGGAGTGGCCAGGGCTTGGCCCTGCTGATTCATTCCCCCTAGGATCAGTCTGGGAGGGGAGGGAGTAATGCTTCCCACCTCTTCCCTGGACCAGAGACTGCTTGGTTTGGGGAATAGGTTGGGGGAGAAGCTTCTGTCCTCCATGATACCAAGCTGTGGGGAAACGTGGGCATACTGGAGGATAGGGTCAAGATCCAGGATGACCTGGACAGGCTGGACTCATGGGCAAAACGGAATCAGATGAGGTTTAACAGGGATAAGTGCAAAGTCCTTCATTTGGGTAGGAAGAACCCTCACCACAACTACATGATGGGTGGTGGCCCACTGGCTGGCACAGCATCTGAGTGAGACCTGGGGGTTATGATCAACCAGAAGATGAATATGAGCCAACATTGTGATGAGGTTGCCAGGAAAGCAACTAGAACTCTGGTGTGCATCAGCCAATGTGTGTCCAATAGATCCAGGAAGGTGCTCCTCCCTCTCTATTCGGCACTGTTGAGGCCTCAGCTGGAGTACTGTGTCCAGCTCTGAGTGCTGCACTTCAAGAAGGACATGAATAAGCTCAAGAGGGTACAAAGAAGAGCCACCTGCAAGGCTAAGGGCATGGAGGATGGGCCCTACAAGGAGAGACTCGGGGAAGTGGGCCTGTTCAGCTTGAGTAAGAGAAGGTTGAGAGGTGACTTGATAACCACCTACAAGTATATCAGGGGTGATCACCAAGATTTGGTCATGTAACTTTTCAGGAAGGCACCTCAAGGGAGGATGAGGAACAATGGACATAAGCTGATAGAGGGTAAATTCAGGCTAGATATAAGGAAGAACTTCTTCTCTGTAAGGGTCTCCAGAATCTGGAACGCACTCCCAGCAGAGGTGGTGCAGTCACTATCCTTGGAGGTGATCAAGAGGAGGCTGGACAGGCACCTCATTGAGCTTGTCTGAGCCCAATAACTTCCTGCCCATGGCAGGGGACCAGACTTGATGATCTTACAGGTCCCTTCTGGTCTTACAATTCTAAGATTCTATGGCACATTCAGAGCCCTGCACCTACAGCCCCATGTATGGGGCTGCAGGTGCCAGCTTTGAAGTGCTGTTGGGGAGGGGTGGGGGAACTCTGGCTGTGGTGGCAGGGCTTCCCATGGCCAGAGCCCCAGCAACACTGTGGGCAAAGCCTTGCCATCATGCCCACTCCTCTGGATGGATCTCTTGTGAAAGCCTGACAGCTGTGAAGTAGAAGCAGGGTGTTGTAAGGAGGGAGTTGTTGTTTCCTGGGGTAGATATCCAATCAACCCCGACCTGTGCCTTTGGGTGCTGTCAGCTGTCCCCAGGCAGACTGAGGGATGCAACAAAACACATGACGTGCGTGCTCTGGGTCACCTGGCTGGGTGCCCTCTGCATTGCAAGCTGTGTGCAGAGCATGCAGCCGACTCTTGGAGCACTTTTATAGGGTTCTACCGGTAGGTTTTCCAACTGCTCCAACTAAACCAATAAACTTCCATTGATTCATTTGAATGTTTTCATGCACCTGCTGTCACCATCAGACATGTGGTTGTGTCTGCCTGATCTACTCCTTTGCATCAAGTCTCAGCAGTAATGGAGTGCGCAGGGGCCTGCCTCTATGCAAAGGCCAGTAGGTCGCATAGATGCAGGTAATTTGGAGTCCTCTTTAGAGGGGAAGTTGTGAAAGGGCAGCAGCTGTTACATTCTAATTGTTATTTGTGAATGAGTTGAGAACCATTCAAATGTAGCAAATGTTCTCCAGCTTTGGATGAAGCAGTGTTAAAGTTGGAGTGTTTTTGCTGCATTTGAATCATTCTTGGCTTGTTCACACACAATTAGAACCTAACAGCTGCTGCTCTTTTGAAACTTCCCATTTTGAAACAGCTCCAAATGTATGTGTGTCCATGATCAGAATAGCCTATGGGCTGTAGTAGCAGCTCTTGTGCATGCTGTACATGTCCTATGATCCTTCTCTGACTGGTCCCGTTGTGTGTGGAGCCAGCATGGAGATCTTTTCTCTTGGTAGCATGC